ATAAAATAGAAAACAGACTTGGAAATAGCATTTTAAACTGCATCTAACATTGGGTGTTGCAGAAGAACTCATATAGATCCAAAAGATTTGCCAAAAAATTAAAAGATGAGATTACTACAGCGAGTGGAACCTTTTTTTAAGTCACACGAAAATTAATAATCGTTGTTGCGCTTGAGCTTCAAAAAGCAAAATTAGCAAAAATTGCGTCTTATCGTGCAGTAAACCTGATAGCAAGGCAGGTGACGAATCGAACATCCTTCCCTCCACCTTCCTTCTCCCCACCCCTCCCTCCCTCTTTCTCTAGAGTTGCGCCAGGACCCTTAAACACCTCAACATTGAGAGTCCTTCGTCCCATTCGGTATCCTCGTCTTTTCCTGCGGGATAATGCGCAATGAGCGTGAGCACTAAGAAAAGCCCAAGGAAGGTGGGGGTTTTCTTTATACATCATCTTTTATTTTTGATAGGGTACAATAAATGTACTATATCGGTGAAAAAAATAGATATTTAGAGAAAACAAAAATTGTTCTTTTCTCGGAACAAGACAGATTACGTGCACGTAAGAGCGCATTCCCTCTTGATACCCCGAAGGGCTGCGGCCTAGCTAAGTGCGTCAGATCAATATTGTCTGTAATATTTCGAAGTTAGCTTCTCATATGTCGATATCTCAAGTTTTTTTGTTAATTGAGAACGAAAGGAATGAAGAATTGGTTATCGAGTTAAGCTTTTAGTTTACAGTGCAATCAAATTTCAGATATGGAACTGAGCGGTCATATTATAAGGAGGTTGAGGATAATGTCAGCGGAGTCCTGGTACATTAGATCAAATGTTGACCGTTAACTTAATTGCCTCACGTGCACGGCTTTTTTTACTATGGCAAAATACGAACTTCAAGCAGTATTAGTTAGCTTAAATCCATTTGCTCCACCCGTAAAAGTTTTTTTTCTATTATCTTTTAATTTCCTTTTCGTTCACCGGTCGCCATTAGTTTCTTATACTTTTATATGATTTTTTTGGATCTCCCATCCTCTTGCCAATTCCATTACGACGGTCCCAAGTGGTAAATCCAGGCAGAGTACACTTCATCTTATG